GCTATAGTCTAGAAACAGCTCCAGGCAGCCTAACGTCATAGGCAGCGGATGCATGCATCATGGAGAGAACTTCTGTTGGGTCAATGTTGGGATGGAAACTCCTGGGGTCTGAAGGCAGCCAGGGATGGTAACCAATTTGCTATAGGCTTGGCATTCAAACATGGAATCACAAAATGTTAGAGCTGAGATGATCTTAGCAATCATGTTCTCATGGTTTCCAAGCCAAGGAAATTTAAAAAAAAGACACGTTTCCTAGTTTAACAGAAGTTCAGATTCCCTAGGTCTGAGGTGAAGGAATACTGATACAACCCAATGAATTCATTTTGCAGATGAGAAAACTGAAGTACAGAGAAAGGTTAAGTGTCTTAACTGGAGTCACACAGCAAGTTAATGTTCAAACCTAGATGATAAGCATTCGTTCTGACCCTTCCTGAAGTGTTTTGCATTTATCTGGATAAGAGAATTGATTGTGACCCATACTTAAAGCTTTGTCCTAGGATTTGGAGCTACGATTTCTGAAACAAGATCCCTGCTCTTACGGAGCTCCCAGTCTCGTGGAGAACACAGTATATGTGATAACAATCATACTGTGGTGAGGGTAAACTAAGAACACGGAGTTACTCCAGCCTTGTTGTTAGCCAGACACTATTCCTGGAGAGAGCATGCAGGCTGGAAAAGACAGACCCAGATCCTACTGGCATGGAGTTTCGATTCTTGTTGGGGCAGAAGTTTTTAAAACAATGTATTTTGAGACCATAAGGTGAGGTACTACACAGTCATAGAAGACGAATAACAAGATGGCTGCCGGCTGGCACAGTGGTGAGAAGGGAAGGATGGACTTCATGATTCCAATGGCCAGACAAGGTCTCTGTGGAGAAGAAATGCAATGTAAGACATGAGAAAGCTGAACCAAGCCCTACAGTGTTTTGCAAATGGTGGCTGGAATGGATTTTTTAAAAATATATTTATTTATTTGTTTTAGAGAGAGGGAGAGAGAGAGAAAGAATGAGAGAGCTTTCGCAAGTGAGCAGGGGGAGAGGCAGAAGAAGAGGGAGAGACAGAATCCTCAAACAGACTCCCCACTGTGCATGGAGCCCAATGTGGAGTTTGATCCCAGGACCCTGAGAGCATGACCCGAGCTGAAGTCAGATTCTTAACTGATTCAGCCACCCAGGCACCTTGGAATGAATTTTTTATCTCATGTGCAGCGCAGCTGTTGAAGTCTGCAGCATGGAAATGGCATGCTCAGGTTTTCTCTTCAGGAAGATGCTTCTAGAGGTTGGAGATGGAGAGATTATTCTTTGAGGCAAAGAATTTGAGACCACATCTCAAAAGGCAGTAGCTGATCCTGCCTTGTTCCTTGACCATAGTCCTTATAAGAAGAGCCATCATTTGTCACCAGTGGGGATAAACAATGCAGAGACTCCCGTCCCCAGGCCTGGCTCTCTTCAAGGTGCTCCACCATCCCATGAAGCTGCTCCTCTCCCGAGCATCCTCTCCTCTCAACAGGCAGCCACCAGTACGCTGGTCCCCACCTGGGTAAACTGGTCAGGATAGACTTTCCCACCCTGCATGGCCCTGCAGCCTCCTGTCCAAGGCTGATCTCTCCGTGCTTTTAGGCATTCTGTCTTTTCCTACTTCCTCACTCTCACTTGTACTTGACTTGCCAACCTGCTCGCTCATTCCCCTCACAGCTGAATGGTTTCTAAGCTCTGCCCTTGTCAACAAATGCTCCAATTCCGTATCTGACTTCCCTGCACAGTGTAGCCTGTGGACTACATGGCTTGTCTCCACCCGTCACACTACTTCTTTTTCTTGTGCTGCTCTCTGTCAGCTCACCCCTGGCCCCCACACAAGCTGATCTGATCTATTGGAGCCAAACACAGAAGACACTTCTCAGTCCTTTTCATGTCAACTCTATAGCTTCTGACACTGACATCCCATTTTGCCTCCAGACTCTCTCCATGCTTAGTATCAGGATGGTCTCCATGTTCCATTTCTTTTCTTCCTTTTGGGTTTATTCTTCTTCATTTCAGCCTTGGCTTTGACCCACCTTCTCCAGGCTCCTGTTCTTCCAGGAAATCTGTCTGACCTCTCCTTGCAGCTTATAGGTGCTCCTGGCTTGAACTCTGACCCCCAGAAGCATTTCTGAGTCACTTGGCTTCCTTTGCAATGCCCCAACTGGGTCCCCAAAGATGCCTCAAGTTCAGTGTTTCTGTTAGAGAACCATTACTTGGGGCACTTGGTGGCTTAGTAAGTTAAATGTCTGCCTTCAGCTCAGGTCTTAATCCTGGGGTCCTGTAATCGAGTCCTTTGGCTCAGGTCATGATCCTGGGGTCCTGAGATGGAGTCCCATATCAGGCTTCTTGCTCCGTGGGGAGCCTGCTTCTCCCTCTGCTTGTCGCTCCCCTTGCTTGTGCACTCCCTTGCTCTCTCACTCTGGCAAATAAGTAAAATCTTTTTAAAAATTTTAAATTTAGAGAAACATTACTTATTAATAAAAATTATAGATATTAAAATTGATCTTTCCTGCATCTGAAGATGTTAGAGATATGGTGTGTGTGTGTGTGTGTGTGTGTGTGTGTGTGTGTGTGTGTGTTGGAAACTGGTCAGAAATGAAGAATTTTATAAGATGAGGAAAGCCCAGTATGTATTTATGAGAAAAAAATGGAGATGCCTGGAAAGAAATGTTCTGGGAAGGTTGGGGGGTGGAGGCAGTCATCACAGGAAGGACCAGTGAAGGCAGGGAGGGGTGAGGAAAGGAACTTGCTTGGCAGGGTAGATATGGAAAAGAGAGAGATCGATTTTGTCAGCTTCTAAAGAATGTGGGTATCGTGGGAAGGTTTTTAAAAGGCCAAATGACATTTCTTGTAACTTTTCTTCCTTTTTTTCCCTTTCCTTTCTTTCCTTCTTTTTTTATCCTTTTCTTCCTTCCTTCTTTATTTTTTTCTTTTATGTCATCACTGTATTTGTTTCTGTCTTGCAACCTCCTGTAATTGCTTATTTGCAGTTTGTGTTGACAAAGACTCTCTTCCTGACCAAATTTTAGTCAGGCTCCTCTGAGACCTCTTCCCCACTAGACCTCGAATCCCGCCCTAGTTTTATGTCTGGCCTTACTAGCCTAGTCTTAGCAAAGCATCCTGCTAAGTCATCCTCCTACCCTCAATTTCTAAGCCCTTGACTCACCTTGAGCAAGAACTCTGTTAGGTTAGTTTAGTAAGAATCCTTCTACTTTGATGTTTCCTTAGTAACTCAGCCCCTGATCCCCTCAACTTGTTCCTTGGCTATATCCTCCCCTGTTCTTGTTGTCCTCTGAGTTGAGCTTGATTCCTCTTTCCTGTAATAGTCTTGAATAATAGTCTTCCTAATTATTTCAGTAAGTGTCAGAATAATTTTTTATTTAACAATGTTCTTCACGTTGTGACAGATGTTTGAGGACAGATGCTTGAGGACTGTTTATTTTGTCCCACACTACCCCCACTTTAAAGAGCCTGAGACAGCATGGGAGTGTTTCAGGTGGAATTTTTCGGTAAAGCTTAGGGGTAAGTCTTCTTATTCCCATAACCCTAAGAGTAATACACAGAGTAATACAGAATACTTTTTATGTTAGTGATAATAGTTCAGGACTCTAGAAGGACAGATGAAATAGTTGTATAACGAAATTACTTTTATTTTCTGCTCAAGACAACATTAAACAATAACCAAATATTACACACTATACTTGATTTTCCAAATTCACATGCTGAAATTCTAACCTTTAAAGATGATACCACTAATGATGGTATTAGGAGGTGGGGTCTTTGGAAGTTACTTAGGTCATAAGGGTAAAGCCTTCATGAATAGAATTAGTGTTTTTATAAAACAGACTCCAGAGAGATCTCCAGTGAGGAGATCTCTCCACATGAGGACACAGTGAAAAGGCACCATAGGCTGGATAGAGGGCCTTCAGCAGAATACAACCATGTTGATGACTTAAACTTGGACTTCCCAGCCTCCAGAACTGTGAACAATAAATTTCCACTGTGCATAAACCACCCACCATGTGGTATTCTGGTCTAGCAGCCCAAATGGACTAAGACTCCCACCCAGTATCCTTATCTCTCATCTCTTATTACTGGTTTGAAAATTCCAATGGCCACCCTATCAGTAAGGGGGACAAAAGTGCCATGAACACAGGTCAGGTTCTCATTCTCTCTCTTCAGGTGATCTTGTTCCCTCACTTTTTCTATTTCAGAGGTTTGTTTTGCTCCCCGCCCAAACCCAGCCTCCCTTTCACTTTAAAGAGCCTAAGTCAGTATTGGAGTGTTTTAGGGCAAATTTTAGATAAAGTTCCTTATTCCTACAACCAACCCCAAGAGTGTTACACAGAGTATTATGTAGCATTGCCATCCAGTGACAACTTTTACTTTCTTATTTGGGGTACGAAGAGTCTATTCTCTAACAGTTAATACAGATAGTAAAGTAAATAAAACAGACATGTGGACATTCTCAAATCTTACACATACGAGCTATAGCATAGGCTTCCAGAACTATGGAGATTCTGACATTTTTAATCAACTTGGGTCACCTTTTCAGGAAAAGTTTCATTTAACTTTTTCCAAATCACTCATGGAAATAGTCATGTTAGGTGATAATGTTAAGGAAGAAAAAAAAAAAGAAAAAGAAGAAGTCCTTGAAGAAATGGCACCAAAAGAACACACAGGGTCCAAGTGGTTACCATGAGCTTGAGACACTCTCCCTCCTTTAGAGGTATCAGAAATGACATGCAGAGACTGCCACACACCATTGTGGGCATGGGAAGGCACATTTGGGTAGGACCCACCCCTTTCAAGGCTTCCTGTGTGACTTGCATTTTGCTCACCGGTTCTTATTTCTTCATTTCTCACTTCTTGACTTCCAGAAATGAAGAGGGTTCTCAGGGAGGAGCTCTGAAACACAACGTTCCACAGCCTGGCAACAGAGCAAATTCACCGAAGTGATGACAGGACCCAGGGAGAACGATGCTTTATTTGGGCTGGATATTTCTTTGGCTTGTCACAGGAGAGAGAATTAAAGAAATGACTACTTCAGGTAGGGTTTTCACTTTTCATGTTAACACTGTGAGTCTTGTGGTCAAGGTTTGAAGTGTCAGGTAATCTGATATATCAACAGCTTGACCTGTTAACACAGAGAATTTCCTTCCTACTGTTGAGATGGGTGCAGGAAGAGAGAAATGACTGGGGGGGAACAGCTTTCGGCAGATGCCATGCATCAATGAGGAGCCCAGTTGTGGTAGTGCGGTGTTTGGAGGGAGCAGCTGAAGAGGAATGAGGGACAGTTTGGTCATCTTTAAAAGGCAATTGCTGTGCTACTGGCCAGCTCAAGTTCACCGGGAGGGAGTCAGAGCACGACGTTCTAAATGGAAGCAGGGAAGAAGACAGACAAAGGAGCCTAATTCTTCATGAAATCTTGGACTCTTTCTAAATGTCAGTTAGAGTTGGATTGTTTTCCCCTCCAGTTTTGTTGAGATATAAGGGACAGACAGCATGGCACAAATTTAAGATACACAGCAAAATGATTTGACTTACGTGTAGAGTGAAAGGATTACCACGATAAGTTTAGTTAATACCCTTTATGTCTTATAGCTACCCAAAAAAGAGAAAAAAAGGAAGCTTTCTTGTTTTTTAATCATGATGAGAACCCTTAGAACCCACTTTCTTAACAACTCTCAGATCTATCAGACAGGAGTGTTACCTAGAGTCCTTGTGTTCTCCAGTACGTTCCCAGTACTGCTGTATCTTATAACTGGAAGTTTGTGCCTTTTTGATCACCTCATCCAATTTCCCCACTCCCTAGCCAGCCTCAGGTAACCACAAATCTGATCTCTTTTTTTTTCTATTATTTGTTTTACTTTTTCACGGTTAGACACTGAAAATAATATTAGATAATTTTATTTGTTCAGTTTGTTCGGTTTCTTTTGTTATTTTTTTAAATGTTACTAAATTTCACTTTATTTTATTTTTATATATTGATTTATTTTTATTATGTTTCTAAGTTTGGTTTTTGTTCTGTTTTGGTTTTGTTTTGAGACTCCACATGTAAGTGATATCATATGGTATCTGTCTTTCTGACTTATTTCACTTAGTATAATGCCCTCAAGGTCCATCCATGTTGTTGCAAATGACAGGATTTCCTCTTTTTTTTATGGCTGAATAATATGTGTGTGTGTGTGTGTGTGTGTGTGTGTGTGTGTGTCCAACTTCTTTATTCATTCATCTGTTGAACAGTCTATTTCCATATCTTGATTATTATGAATAACACTGCTATGACCATAGGGGTGCAGAATATCTCTTCAACATAGTGTTTTCATTTCCTTTAGATACATTTTCAGAAATGAACTTTCTGCATCATATGGTAGTTCTATTTTTAATTTTTTTGAGGGGCCTCCCTACTGTTTTCCATATCAGATGTACCAATTTATAAACCCAACAGTGCCCAAGGGTTCCCTTTTCCCCACCCCCTTGCCAGCATTTCTTACTTCTTCCTTTTTTTCGGTAAGCCATCCTGACAGGTGCGAGGTGTTATTTCACTGTGGTTTTGATTTGCAGTTCCCTAATGATCAGTGATGTTGAGCACATTTTTATGTACCTGTTGGTCAATTATATATGTTCTTTCAAAAATGCTTATTTGGGGTCATTGCCCATTTTTAAGTGGTTTATTTGGGGGGTTTTGTTTGTTCATTCTTGTTTGTTGGTTTTGCTTTTGAGTTGTATGTGTTCTTGATGTATTTTGGATGTTAATCAGATATATTTTATTAGATATGGCTTTGAAGATTTTTTTTTCCTATTCTGTAGGTCATCTTTACATTTCATTGATCATTTCTTTGCTGTGCAGGAGCTTTTTAGTTTGATGTAGTTCTACTTGCTAATTTTTTTAAAGATTTTATTTATTTATTTCAGAGAGATAGAAAGATTGTGAGCAGTGGGGAGGACAGAAGGACAAGCAGACTCCCTGCTGAGTGGGGAGCCTGATGTGGGGCTCCATCCCAGACCCCTGAGAACATGACCTGACCTGAAGGCAGATGCTTAATGGACTGGGCCACCCAGGCACCTGATACTTTATTTTTTTATCTGGTTGCTTGTGCTTTAGATGTCATGTCCAAAAACTCATTGCCAAGGGACAGTTTCATCTCCTAATGCAGCTCTCTGTTGCTTGGTTCCTTGTGGCTTTCAGATTGCTTCACCAAGAACGTGCTTTGGGAATATTCCTCAACGAGGGAGCAATTTGTCTTATTTTGTAACTTAACAGAGTCACAGACATGCCACTCATCCCACAGAAGTCAACTCTCACCAACCCAAGGTTCTGAAAACTTGCCCTGTAGTGGTTACAAGGACCTATCTGATGTCCAGTGGTATCTACAACCTCCAAATGGAAGTCAACCATGGGAAATAATGAACAACTCTGCTCACATCATTGAAAAGGGCATCCTACACTTTTTGACCATGGAAATACGTAGTCCTGGATCATATATCTGTAGGCCCAGGATTGGGTATGTCCCAAATGCATTCTTATATAAAAACACTCTCCAATCCTATATTATCTGGATATAACATTTATGTTCACAGACCTTATTACCTCTCCTAGGAGCCCTTGTTGTGTCAAGACCATCTTAGAAGTTAAGCCCAAGACAAAACTACCCTGTATACCACAAAACTCTGTATCACATGAGCAATACCTTCTTCTTGGTAGCACTGCCCGTATTCATTGTCCTAGCCTCAACTGCCAAAGTGATGCACAAAGTCCAGAGATGACCTGGTACCAGGTAAGAATGACTTCTCCAAAGCTCATGTGAGAGTATGGTTTTTATGGTAACATCTCCATAGATGCTTTATAGAAATGTGGGTTTGCGAATCTGAGGTCTAGAGCTTCGCAAATACTTGTGCCTACAGAGAAGACCTGACCTTCTTCAAGAAAGTTGTCTTTCTCCTAGGGAGCCATAGAGTGTGATAGTGCAAGTAGGAGAGTCACCTTTTTGCTCAGTGCCAGCAAAATTTCTAAAATTTGAGCGCATTATTCATGAGGGAAGACATAAACTTGCAAACATCCACTAATGCAGAAGACCAGTTGAATTCATTTCTAGTGTCTTTGGAAAACAATGGGCACTTTTAGGGGGAAGGGAGACACCAATAAGTGAGGCCCAGAGGGTTTCTGAACAAAATAGGAGACTAGTGCTTTCCAAAGAGAGCACATCTGAGAGGACAGTTATGGCAAGTATAGGTGGCCCAGGTGACAGGTGTCTTGCACAGGTGAGGGGGGCAGGGAGGACAGAAAGGCATTATAAAGAGGAAAGGAGGTGGGGGCAAGGAAGAGGCAATGTTCCTAATGATTTTGAGTTATGAACCACATGTGAGTCAGCTTTATAACAAAGAACACTTCATGTTGCCATGGCGTCTTACAGTTTTTACACATGCTAACAGATAGATAAATGCAGCATAAGCATGTCCTTCAACATAACCCCATGGTAGTTGACCCCTGGGCAGTGGAAACAAAGAATAGAATTTAAATTGCCTCCTACACTCGGAATCATTGTTGAAAGTTCAATACTCTGCTGTGAAAAGTCACATAAAATGTTAAATATGACTTCAAAACTTGTTTGTTAAATATAAAAATATCATTTTAAATTGCCACTGAAAGGGTCACACAAGGGACCCATGTTTATCTGGTGGCTCTATGCACTCCAAGATTCAGCAATCAGAGAGTCGTGTGGGTACAAGCAATGTGGTGTGAGAAGCCACTTCCTCACTCGATTCCACTGACACATGGGTAGATAGGTGTTATGGTGTTCACTATAGAAATAAGCATACGGGGCACCTGGGTGGCTCAGTTGGTTAAGCGTCTGTCTTCAGCTCAGGTCATGATCCCAGGGTCCTGGGATCGAGGCCCACATCAGGTTCCCTGCTCAGTGGGGAGCCTGATTCTCCCTCTCCCTCTGCTTCTCCCCCTGCCTGTGTTCTCTCTCTTTCTCTCTCTCTCTCAAATAAATAAATGATATTTTTTAAAAAAAGAAATAAGTACACAGAGAGAACAAGTGATGTGATGTGTTGTAGGTCTCACATTTGTATTTTAAAGGGCTCACTAAAATCCCAACTTAAGTAACGTATTAATTTCATAACCTTTAAAATGAGGTTAGCCAGAAGAGGCCATGATTACGTTCATTATTTTCAGTTCTTTTTTTTAACTAAAGATTTCACTTATTTATTTGACAGAGAGACAGAGAGAAAGAGAGAGAGTGTGTACAGGCGGGGAGGAGTGGCAGGTAGAGGGAGAGGGAGAAGCAGGCTCTCCTCTGAGCAGGGAACCAACTTAGAGCTCCATCCCAAGACCCTGAGATCATGACCTGAGCCAAAGGCAGCCGCTTAACTGACTGAGCCAGCCGGGTGCCCCTATTTTCAGTTCTCTTAAGAACAAAACTCCCCTGGATTCAAAAGTATTTGTGGTCTAGGATGACAGATATTTGCTACATCAAGGTAGGCTATTCCTAGGCCAGTAAAGCAGGCTTGCCCCCAGTCATTTCAGATCCAAATGCATTTATATTTTCAAGGATTGTACCCCTAAAATGAAGGCTGTTTTCACTCTCAGGGAAACAGAAGCCACACAATAGTTGCCAGCTTTCTGCATATATTGCTCTTATAAAAGAAACCCTAACAGGGTATGACATTCACAGAAGGAAGCTTTATTTCACGTCCTTGAGGTCTTGTCGGAATGTGTTTAGCTGTAAATAGGCATCTGTCCTAAGAGTGGGCAGACAATGGCTCTTGATCATTGTACGTTCTGATGCAGATTCGGATTAAGTCATCATTCAAGTTAGGTTTCCCAGTTGCACGTATGTGTGCGCGTGCCTACATGCACCTGCGTGCACATGTACACACACACACGTGCACAGACATGCATACGTACGTGTGTGCAGTAGCCTGATATGTCCCAGACCTCGCAAAAAGAAGTGGTGACATTAGGCAGCAAATAATACACAATACACCTTTCCTTCATGCTGAATCCCCAGTCCTCCGGTGGTGGGTGGGTCACACCTAAGCCATCTCAGAAGAGATTGCGGATGCTAACACTGACTCAGCAGATGTAAACATGGTGTTATTGAATTCAGATGAAAGTCCTGACCGGGGATGCCTCTGCCAGATGTATAGGATATCTCACTGAAATAAATCAATGAGCTTGAGGCTCTGGGGGCTTTCAGATTTTTAATAGACATGTCAAAAAATTTAGGCTTGGCAATTTTTAAAAAAATATGTATTTTTAAAGATTGTATTTATTTAACAGAGAGACAGCGAAAGAGGGAACACAAGCAGGGGGAGTGGAGAAGGAGAAGCAGGCTTCCCGCTGAGTGGGGAGCCCAATGCTGGGCTCGATCCCAGGACCCTGGAATCATGACCTGAACTGAAGCTAGATGCTTAACAACTGAGCCACCCAGTTGGAACTGGAGATTCTTAACTGAAATATTAAATGACCACAAAGTCAGAGTTAAAGTGAATTATCTGTTCTTTACTCCAAGAACATTTTCACCGTATTTGCTAATTTCTAAAAATATAATAAAAAATAGTCTACATAGATTTCATCTTAAATAAATGAAAATTACATTCAATGAGAGGGCATTTTACGTTCTTTAAGCAAAGCTATGACATGGGCAAAATCATAACAGGGCAGCGGGAGAAGTCCTTCCGCAATGGCATTGAGACACAAATGTCAGCGACCCTGCTGTCTTTTTGTCACTTAGATGTATGCCCCAAGCAACCTTTCCATTGGTGGTTTAGGACACTCTCGCTCATATGCCACACTCACTGGCCACAATGCTGACCTGCCATCACCTCTGAGCCCTGTGTTCCATGGAATGTACGCACTCAGACTGGCTGCGTTTCCTTCTCATTTCTTTTTGGCCTACTTTTCTCATAGCCACGAGTACTCCTGGCATTCTGTGAGCCTTAGTGACCCAGGGAACCAATGGGTTGGCAAGACTGGTTAGACCAAAGATCAATGTGATTCCGAGTAGGGAAGAAGTAGAGATCATTTTGATTTGATTTCTAAAAATTATTTTCAAGGTCAGTATAGTAGCCCCTTCAGTTGTTCTCACCAAGCAATTTCAGAGTGCTCAAAATCCTGCACAACTTCCTAACATCTGTTCAGTGCTATAACCCACATGTTGCCTAGCCAATAGTGAAAACAGAGAAACTATTTTCTTCCTTGCCTTGAGCAGCATATCGATGCGGTCTACGATTGCATGAGCTTTGGGACAGCTCCATAATGTGGTCAATTCATTTTTAGTTGGCAGGTAGGGGGCTTTTGTTTTGTTTTGTTTTTCATTTTTCACAAGAACTGTGATCAAGCCAATTCATTTTTGTGCTAACATAGTAGAATTTGTAACCCACATTCAAGAATTTACATTTATTCTAATTAAATTCTGATTTGTTGGTTTTAGCTCACCATTCTGCATATCCATTGGAATTTATTTTGAAACCCACCATACTAAGCCATCATTCTCAGACTCGTGTGACTTGAGGATGAGAGGCAGGCATGATAAGTCTTAGCAAAAATACTGAACAGCCTGGCACTGAACAACCAGTCAGCTCAGCTATTGACTCTAGCTGATCCCATGGTCCCTTAATCTACAACTTGGAAAGTATTACTGTTCAGATAACTTAAAAAGGGCACCCAGATGTTGACTCATTCAGCCTATGTGTATCTATTTTATTTAACAAAGACCTCATCAATGTATTTTCCAAATGACTCACTACAGTGAAGATGGAACATCTCCTTTATTCCTGTATTCCTCTGAGCCCCTGGTGTATTCATTTTATCATACAGAAAAAAATTACAAGACTAACATGAATGTTGGTAATGGACAAGCTGGCTGATAGTCACCAACTTTTCCTTTTTGAGAACTCATAAGCTATCTTTCCAATAATCCATTCAAGACTTTGGCTAGAGATGAACATCTAGCTCATTAGTCTATACTTTTCATGATGTACCCTTTTCCACTTAGAAGATAAATATGAGTACAAAACTTATAGATAATTAGAATGTGGCCAGTTGATGATTAGGGCAGGAGACTGAAGCTGCAGGAGAAGACAGATGGGTCACAGAAAACAAAAGCACAAGGGACACATGAATGGTGAATGGCTCAACATGGTAGGAGCAGAGAGGTGTACTTAGGCTTAGGGCTGAAAAAAAAGGCTGTAGGTTGATTATGTGGTATGGTTGTTGGGGGGTCCCTCTTGGTGTGATTGAAGTTTAAGAGTATGAATCCTGATCCAGGGAACTAGCTTTGGGGACAGAAAAGAGTTGGTGGATGCTAGTGATATCTTCAAGGAATAAAATACAAAATGAAATAGTTTGGGGGACATAAAAGAGATGACTCATGTTTTGGGTCTTTCTGGCTCAAATATTCACAACATTTAGCAAGTTGAGACAGTAGAAGTGAATTCAATGAAGGATGCAAAGAGCTCACATAGATCTGGACGTAATGAGTCATTAAAACAGACATGGGAAAAAAAAAAAAAAAACCAGACATGGGAATGTCAAGTCCATAAAGGAGGGTAGGGCTAAAGATGCCCAGGCCTGGAGTCATCCCAGAGCAGATAGCAAAATCCCTAGGAGGAGCTCCACTGTGTTGTCCAATGGTGGGGAGAACCACTCCCATAGAATAACACCGTGTGTATTGTCCTCCCTGGGGTGGTTGCACTGCCTGGTAGTATTGGAGCTTGATGACAGTAGAAGGTAACATTTCAATAACTGCTCTACCTAGAATACATTTTCTGTGTTCTTCTTCCTTCACACATTCATTTAAAGTCCCGTTTTAGCATCTTCTTTTCTGCATGCCTTCGTTCTAAGACTTACTGACATTCTTCATACAGGTTCACATTGAGATGTTCCTCCTTCCACATTTTGTTCAAGACTGTTCCATAGCTGAGCAAAACAGCCCCATTACCATCTCTCTTTCCTACTGGAATCATTTGCGATCGTCTTACCAGAATGGGTTCCCCATCATTCTTGACACAAATGGCCTCTCCCTTAACTGTTTTCTTTGATGTTTCCTTTTAGTTCCATCTCATTAAGTCTTAAGAATACATATGAAGTCATACCTCTTTAATTTTTATTTTTTAAGATTTTATTCATTTATTTGAGAGAGATAGAGCCCACAAGCAGGGGTGGGGGAAAAGCAGACTCCCTGCTGAGCAGGGGACCTGACTCAATCCCAGGACCCTGAGATCACAAGCTGAGCCAAAGGCAGATGCTTAAGCAACTGAGCCACCTAGGACCCCCATACTTACTTTTTTATGAAAAAAAAAAAATAATCAGATGTTTTGACCCATTCCCCACTGTGGTCAGCTGAGGTCTCAGTCATGACTCTGCATCCACTCCCCCGTTACTTTCTTGGGTGATTTATGACACACCTCTGCTCCAATTGTCACTCATTCTATGTGATTATTGTATTCTCTAGAGTTTTATCTCTGAATTTCACTCCATGCTCTGACCCTTCATTTGAAGGGGTCCCTGACCCTTGAGATCAGTTGATCTATATTTAACATTGTCTGCCCCACTTGTTTGTTTTCTTTTACTTCCTGCCTGCAGCTGCCCCTCTCTGACCCATTCTGACGCTCAGGCTCTTTGCCAACTTACTGGAAGTCCCTTCTTGGGCCACAGAAACCACACCAGAGACTTGGAGTAGGGGAATCCCTGCTTCTATGAGTTAGCATGAGAAGTGGAAGGGATTTTCCTCAATGAGAACATGAAACTCAAGAGTCAGAAAAATTCACATTGACCCCTGGTCCTCTCAGTTGCTAGCTCTGGGATACAGAGCAATATATGAACTCCAAAACTTCAGTTTCCTTCTAGATCTGTGCAGTCCAAATCAGAGAATCCTTTGAGTGAATCACATGAGAAAGAATTTTATAATCTGTATAGGTAAGAGATACTTATTATTTTGTTATTTGTGTTCCTTATCTCTGCTTTGGACTGCTGTGATGAGAGATACAGTCTGGGGGCTATTTTTGGAGACTGGAAGCCCATGTGCTACATGGAAGTTAGGGGCTACAGAATTATTGGTACAGTGCAACTCAACCATGCAACAGATACTCATCGAGCCCTTACTATGTCTTAGCCCCTAGTGATACAAAGGTGATTACATAACTCTTACGTTTCAAGACCTTTCAATTATACATACGTTAGTCACTCAGCATTTACAAAGAGCTTCCTCATGCTGGCCTGCTTGCCATATACTAGAGATATAAAGACCAAATCCGTCAATCAGCCTCTTCATCGTGGCCTTATTTCCTATAGCCATACTCCATTTCAGATGTTTCCAGAATGGCACTTACCTTCAATGGAGTGATTCCCGCATATTCTTCAAGGCTCTGATGAGCCTGGAGGGAGCATCCCTGCTTGTTGTTAACTGAGCCAGGGCTGCCCAAGTGCTTCATACTCTGGCTTAGTCCTTGGGGTCTGCCGAGCGCTCTCCCAGTCTCAGAAGGCAGTCACAACTCCATATCCTCTGATGAGAGGGATCTATGTTCATTCCTGCCAATGTGTCCCGGAGCAGCTCTGTGTCTTGGCACAAAAGCTGTCTCTACACCGATGTAGAAAGAGGTAACTGTCCACAGAAATTACGACCAGAGGGCTATAAGCAACCGTGGAGGTCTGGGAGCATGCAGGGACTGGTTCTGCTGGGAGAGTGCCTGGTCACTCCCTCCGCAAGAGTTACGTCTTGAGTTAGAGTTAAAGACTGAGCTGCAGCTTACCCAGTGGTGGGGAAAGTGGTGGGAGAGATGTATGGACACATGGATGGAGAAAGAACATTGTTATTGGGGCACCTGGGTGGCTCAGTGGGTTAAAACCTCTGCGGTCAGCTCAGGTCATGATCTCAGGGTCCTGGGATTAAGCACCACATCAGGCTCTCTGCTCAGCAGGGAGCCTGCTTCCTCCTCTCTCTCTGCCTGCCTCTCTGCCTACTTGTGATCTCTGTCTGTCAAATAAATAAATAAAATCTTAAAAAAAAATACATGGTTATTTAGGAAATGGCTAGTAGGTGGAAAGGCAGTAGCAGGAAATGAGAACAGGAAGGCATGGTAAGTTCAGATGGGGGAGAACTTCAGACCTTAGAAGAGCATCCCTGATGGATATGCTTAATAAGGGAAAGAAATGTTCATAATTGTTTGGGTCCTCCATGAGTTCTTTGTTTCTCACTCACCAATTATTCTTTGTCATATCTGTATACACCTGTTTAGTTATTTACTTAATACTTTTAATTTAAATTTCATCTTTTTTGAGTTAAATCTATTTAGAGAAGAAACTTTATATTAGCCCCATACATACACAAAAAAAATATTGTCAGTTTCCATAAATATAAATACACACAGTTTAAAAAGAAATCATTGAGGTATCAACTCCTTAAAGCACTATGAGTTTTCTAGAATATTCTCAGAGGCTGAAGTCATGCTTTGGGAAATACTAGGCTAAGTACGTTTGTGGATCAGTCGGCTTTAATGCCTCGATCTCAACGGATAAGGTAATTGTATTTAAAAATGCCTCTCATGAGCCAATGAGAATCTTACAAGTATAGCTTCTGAACAGCTTGGGTGATGCTCTCATTTGTGAATTTTTTCTATTGTTGTGACAAATATTAATAACAATTATTTGGCTAAAGAAGGTTATTTATTTTTCTCATCCCTTGGATTAGAATGGAAAGCTACTCCCTGAAGAAAGGAGCAACTCAATCCTGGTGGATGAAGTTTACGAAGAACAGGATGGCACATATGTATGTGATTACACGGAGTTGGTTAACACAAGTTCATGGACAGTCAGAGCTGTTGTTCAAGTGACAACCATCGGTAAGAGAGATTTTCATATCAAGATCTGGGATTTGAAGCCCCACTACCCAATTAAAGTAAATTCCTTTGGCTTAGTCATGGTTTCCTTTTTTGAAAAAAAAAAAATTATAATCCTATACTGGTAGTCATAGGAAGCCTTAAATGTACGAAAACATTAATTTTCTCATTAACCTAGATTCCATCCCCCAGGGAAGGCTTAGTTCTGGATCACATTCAAATTGTCACAAGTTGGGCCACCAAGGGAGTGAGTCCAGAGAGAAGAGGGCCTTGAATGGAGGCCGGGAGGATTGCAGTACTTGGAGGGGTTGGGACGAAGGGTAGGATTCCTAGAGGAGCTAGAGCAGGGGTGTGAGCACCGAGGGAAACTGCCCCAGGGCGAGTGACTAAAGTATCTCCGGGCAGAGGGAGTGAAGCTCTGCCTTGGTGCTGAAGTTTGAGAACTCATCATAGGGTCTGGGAAGATGGCAGTCATTATTTACATAAGTAACTGGGTACTGTTGGAAGGATAGGGAGAAGAGCTGTAAAGAAAGTGAAATTGATGACATGGGAGAGAGATCATTTCAAGGTTCAAGACCTTTTGTAGGGAAGAGGCCTAGAGAGTGAACAGCACAGCAGAGAGCAAGGAAGAAAACTGATAAGCACAAGAACCACACAGAAAGTGGAGCCCCCAAACACACTGGGAAGTGAGCAGAGAGGCAGAAGGTGAATGGGAGAGTAGGGAAGCAGGGAAGCAAAAGATGAGAGGGTTCCAAGAGATGGCATCCAGCAGTGTCCAATGGTACTGGGAAATAAAACTGAAGAAAAACTCCGTTGTGCCCAATGGAATTAAGTGCCAGGAGGTTACTGGGGTCTTGAGCCAAAGCACTATCTGTAGAGTGATGGGGGCAGGCATCGGACTCCACGGAAAGTGAAAGAATGAGGATGAGCATAGAGAAGGAGAATGAATGCAGCAGGGAAATGAGGTAAAGGGATTTTTCTCTGTTTTAAGATAGAGAGACTGGGGCACCTGGGTGGCTCAGTGGGTTAAAGCCTCTGCCTTCAGCTCAGGTCATGATCTCAGGGTCCTGGGATCCAACCCCATGTCAGGCTCTCTGCTCAGCAGGGAGCCTGCTTCCCCCTCTCTCTCTGCCTGCCTCTCTGCCTACTTGTGATCTCTCTCTGTCAAATAAATAAATAAAATCTTAAAAAAAAAGTTTAAGATAGAGAGACTGAGCATGGATAAATGCCAACGGGAAGAAGTGGTGGGAGAGGAGGAGAGGGAGAGAGAGAGGGAGAGAGAAAGAGAGAGAGAGAGAGAGAGAGAGTGGGGCAAATATACAAGGGAGAACTGGAATCTTTGAGGGAAAAAGTCCCTGAGAAGTAAGAGGACAACGTCTAGAGCAGAGGTGATGAGTTTTCCTTTATCAGGAGATAGGACGTAGTCAAGAGGATGTTTGACCATGGCGCTCTATTTGACAGTTTGGGGCAGGAAGTTAAGGGATAAATGAGTAATGTGGGGCCAGACTCACCTTTATTTTGAAGTAACCCACGAACTGGGTAATGGAGGGGGTGGAGTCCAGGCTGGCTGATGTGGGCATTTTCTCAGGTGTGTCCTTCTTCTAAATTACTCAGCCAGATGGTGCTAAAAAGCAATCTTGTAGGAGAAGACAGGAATGGGGGCTCAGGTCTGCGATGGTTGAGCAGGGCTGGTGTGGAAGAGAATGCACCTTTTGCTAACACCTGCGGCCTGATGTCCTGGTCGTTTCTGGAGACTTCTTCTTCTTCTTCTTCTTTTTTTTTTTTTTAAAGATTTTATTAATTTACTTGACAGACAGAGATCACAAGTAGGCAGAGAGGCAGGCAGAGAGAGGGAGGGAGCAGGCTCCCTGAGGAGTAGAGAGCCGGATTTGGGGCTCGATCCTAGGACTCTGGGATCATGACCTGAGCCGAAGGCAGAGGCTTTAACCCACTGAGCCACCCAGGCGCCCCAGAGGACTGTTTTTCACGTGGAAACCTAAGTCCCTAGCCTTATAGAATATGACTCGAAATTGAAGAGGGAGCCCCAAAGCATTGAGATCAAAGTACCCTTTTGTATGCATATCTTCAGCAAGCGGGCTTTCAGATTTCCCAGTGCACATAATAATTTCTATTTTCCTCTTTTAGTGAAAGACACTAATCACAAACCAGATATTCTGGATCCCATCAAGGACACACTGGAAGTAGAACTTGGTAAGGTGGGTTGTGTTATCGCCATTGAATGACACTGTGCTTCTGGGAGCAGGTCTAAGTGTGGTATAAGGAAAAGAGTCTCAGGATTTTTTAAAAAGATTTCATTTGTCAGAGAAAAAGGGAGAAAGAGAACACAAGCTGGCGGAGTGTCGGGCAGAGAGGGAGAGGGAGAGGGAGAAGCAGGCTCCCCACTGAGCAAGAAGCCCATGGTGGGACTCGATCCCAGAACCCTGGGATCATGACCTGAGCTAAAGGCAGATGTTTTACTGAATGAGCCACCCAAGCATCCTGAGGCTTGATATTTGAAATCAAACAGAATTGAGTATGAATCTTGGCTCAGCCAATGGCTACTTTTGTGACCTTAACGGAGTTACTTATTCTTTCTAAGCTTCAGGTTTTAAATCTGTAAACAGACAGAAGAAAACTGACCTCATCTGGATGAATCAAGAAATACAGGCTAATGTATCTTAGGTGGCTGGTGTAGCGGACATGATCAATAGGTTTTAGATTCTTACTTACTCATCCCAGAAGCAAATGTTACATATATTATTAGGTCCATTGGTGAGTCTGTAAGTTTAACCAATTTACCAGCTTGAATAGCATGAATCTTTGCAAACATGGTGTTTGGTGTGGCCTTTAAGATAATTATAGAGGAACGCTACATCCCCTCATATTCCCAAGTAGTGTCTTCTTTTGGGTAGAGGTGCTAAGTGACTTTCCTATTGGTCTCTTTGTATTTTTTTTTAAGATTTTATTTATTTATTTGACAGACAGAGGTCACAAGTAGGCAGAGAGGCAGACAGAGAGAGAGGAAGGGAAGCAGTATCCCTGCCGAGCAGAGAGCCTGATGCGGGGCTCAATCCCAGGACCCTGGGATCAGGACCTGAGCTGAAGGCAGAGGCTTTAACCCACTGAACCACCCAGGCGCCCCGGTCTCTTTGTATTTTAACAACTTCAATAACATCTACATTTTTGCACACAGTAAAATAAGAACTGCTCAATTTAAAACCAAGGACTGTTTATTCCAATAAAATAAGCACTCTTTTAAATGCTAAAATATTTATAATTATAAATGGCAAAATAGGTACTATGGTAAAAGACCGCTAGATGGCAGTATCAGTGTGTCCTGATTATGGAAATGGAATTTGCAAAACCAGCAGCATCACAAGAATGCAAGGAAGGAGGAAAGAAAAAAAATTAATAATTCAAAAATAGCCAAGCTACATATGGTTCCAGTGAATTTTGAAGAATTACAGGGCAGGGGGACATTATTAAGATGCAAAGATGATTTTTTTTTTTAAAGGTGAAAATTTGGGTTTAAGGCAGAATGTATCTGGATAGTCCCTATGGAAAAAATGGGTAGAAAGAGGATAATGTAATAATACGCATCCCTACCTTGTTCAGGAAACTGATGGATAGCTAAATAATTTCTTCTTTAAACCACATTAGCATAACCTCACAATTTTATTTTATTTTATTTTTAATTTATTTGACAGTCAGAGATCACAAGTAGGCAGAGAGGCAGGCAGAGAGGGGCGGGGGGTGGGGGAAGCAGGCTCCCCGCTGAGCAGAGAGCCCGATGCGGGGCTCGCTCCCAGGACCCTGAGATCATGACCTGAGCTGAAGGCAGAGGCCTTAACCCACTGAGCCACCCAGGTGCCCCTCACAATTTTAATTTAATATGCAAATACTGGTCCGCAGTAAAATGTTCTTTGTCGACACACCTTGTACTGAACAGCAGCAGCGTTAGAAGAACAGGCTGGTCACTGAGGACTCCTCATTTTCCCCGTGTCTATCCTCCAGCCACATCAGAATTCTTAGTGCTATGACTGTATAGCCGCAGGTTTGAGATACAAGTATTGCCCATTCTTGTTTGTTTCCAGATGAGAAACAGCTAGGTTTGGTTACCCCTGGCACAGCTGTTTTTTACCTACAAACATGATTGCAGTCATGAATGATCTTGAGGCGGAATGTCCCTCCTGAGGACAAAGCGTTCTCACGGACTTCCTATTTTTTTTGCGTCACCTTCATTTTCAGGAAAGCCTTTAACTCTTAACTGCACGGCACGATTTGGCTACCAAAAGGACTTTATGCCTGTAATAAAATGGTACATTAAAGATTCTGACCAGGAGTGGGAAGTCCCAACATCTGAGGAGATCAGGTAAGAAGGAAATTAGCAGACTATTATTATTTCTAATCCACACTGAATGCTTTCACCTTTGGAAACCTTAAAAATGCTGGAGGGATGGGGTGGCTGGGGGATGGACACTGGGGAGGTTATGTGCTATGGTGAGTGCTGTGAATTGTGTAAGACTGATGATTCACAGACCTGTACCCCTGAAACAAATATAACATTTAATGTTAATAAAAATAAATGTAGACCCAGAGGTGAGCCGGCAGGCCAAGTTGACAGTGTGACCACTAGCGCCCACTAGTGGTGAATAGAAAAGCACGGAAATGCGAAGTTCAGGTTCATTTTATTTTATTATTTTTTTAAAAATTTAAAAAGACTTTTATTTATTTATTTATTTATTTATTTGACACACACACAGAGGCAGGTAGAGAGAGAGGGGGAAGCAGGCTCCCTGCTGAGCAGAGAGCCTGATGTGGGGCTCCATCCCAGGACCCTGAGATCATGACCTGAGCTGAAGGCAGAGGCTTAACCCCCTGAACCAGCCAGGTACCCCCAGGTTCATTTTATTTTTTATTTATTTATTTATTTTTAAAGATTTTATTTATTTATTTGACAGAGAGAAATCACAAGTAGGCAGAGAGGCATGCAGAGAGAGAGGAGGAAGCAGGCTCCCCGCTGAGCAGAAAGCCCGATGTGGGGCTCAAGCCCAGGACCTGGGATCATGACCTGAGCCAAAGGCAGCGGCTTAACCCACTGAGCCACCCAGGCACCCCCCCCCCAGGTTCATTTTAAACAGCAGTTTCTGATAAGCCATAAAATATCTAAGTTTTGTGAATGTTTGTAGCAACAGTTTGATGCAGCTTTAAAACATCAGGCTGACAAGCAGACAGGCATACCCACCCAGGCTGCCTGAATAGAAGTAACACGTCCAGCCAATGGGAAAGAATGCTGCCCTCCCCCTACCCCATTTTTCCCAGCGCCTTCTATTTAGAGTAGTGGTGGGTTCAGGCATCCAAATCTTCAGTTATTAACAGTCTGGGATGTATCTGGAGGAAAATGCCAATAATGAGTCTGACCAAAAATATGTAAAGTGAGGAACAGTTGAAGCAATCCAAATGGAAAAGAGGATTAAGAGATGGGATATCTGTCTTGAAGTCCTTACGTTTTATGGAAACTAGACTTAGTTTGTTGCTCTCTGGAGCACAGAACCCCGATTAGTGGACAGAATTTACTGGGAAGACAGTTTGGCTTAATAGAAAGGAAAACTCTAGCTATTCAGAGCTATCCAGCACCTCTTGAAGCCGAACTCTGGTCCCTGGAAGGATTCAGTGTTTGGATCTAATCAGTCAGGACTGTCACTAAAAAAGAGTCTCTTGTTTTTCCAAAATCTGTTCCCAAGTAATAGTCTACGCATTAAGCACTTCCTTCTGATTCTTAAAACATTTCAATGAACAAATATAATATTTTGAAAAGTACACGTTACTACAAAAAGTAAAGAACAAATTTTGATAACAATAATAGAATTTAGCAAGAACTTCTTAGACAAGAGAAGTCACAAAAGCGCTCGGGTTCGAATATCTGTTTTCCACCTATTGGCAATGTGACCTTTGACCCCTGCAAGACTCCATTCCACCACCTGTAATCTATGGACACTTATGTCCACTTTCCAAGATCCTGGTAGGGAGCTGATATAGTAGAGGTGACATGCTCGCCTGACCAGTAAGAAGCATTCAGTGACTATGAGTTGGTATTGCAGGGTCCAAGCAACACAGCCTAAAACCCCATCCATATAAACAGTATCCCTTCATGTAAAGACAGACTATAGATTCGCAACTGTAGAGAACCCAGACTGTGAATAAATACTGAGACTTACAATTTGCTGGATGGGGCAGAATGGCTTTAGGCTCAGGACTCAGGCTGCCACTTGCAAGCACAGTGACCTTGGACTGTCACCTACCTACTGTTTGTGTTGGTGGCCAAGTCAGGTGGCCAAGTGGGGGTGTTCATACTCTTACCTCATGGGGGCTCCTGTGAGGTGAGGCATGAAGGAGACTCGATAGTCCACATTTAGTGTTCAAAAGAGTGAGCACAGATACATGATAAATCCCTGGTGGAAGTGAGTCAATAGTCAATATTATTCTTAAAGTATTTTTACTGTCTGTTTTCTTTTTTTAAATTTTTATTTATTTATTTATTTAATATTTTATTTATTTATTTGACAGAAAGACAGAGATCACAAGTAGGCAGAGAGGCAGGCAGAGAAAGGGGGGGAAGCCGGATCCCTGCTGAGCAGAGAGCCCAACACGGGGCTTGATCCCAGGACCCTGAGATCATGACCTGAGCTGAAGGCAGAGGCTTAACCCACTGAGCCACCACACACCTCTTTACTGTCTGTTTTCAAGGGAAATGCTTAGAGTAATAAAGGTCAGATGAGGCCCGCCAGAAATTAAATCCTGGTATAAATGCATAAAATGATGCCTAGCAGATTCAATAATCAAAAAATGTTACCCCATGATCAGATGGTCAGTCCTATGTTCTTCGGGCATCTCCCTTTACTCTTCGATCCCCTAGCTCTTCTGAAAGCCAAACTGTTTGGCAGCTAATATAAATGCCAAATATTACAAAAGGTGGTCAGTTTGTGCTACTGAATATGTCGGGTGCTCATCCTTCTTTCCTAGTGTAAAATCTACCAAAAAGGATAAAGTCATTGCCCGCGTTATCCACTTCAAAGAAGTTACTCAGAGGGAGCTTCGCAGGAAGCTTATTTGCTTCGCCCAGAACTCCATCGGGAACACTACCCAGTCCCTCCAACTGAAAGAAAAGCAAGCAGGTAAGCCTGGAAGGTTGCCACACCATGCACACAACTGCTTGTATCTGAGAGGAGAGGAATTTTCCTGAAGAATTATAATGATGATGATGACAGCAATTATACTTGCTAGTCGCCGGACACTCTGCACTTCACTTGTATTAAACCATTTGATACTCTGACCAAGGACACATCACTAGTAAGCTTCATATCAGTGATCCAGAACTGGTCATCTTAACTAATACCCTATGTATGGGAGCTCTGTTAGAAAAACCTGTCATTCATTCATTCACTTACTCATTTATTCAGTCTACAAATACCTAATAGGTACCGTGCTAGGACCCAGCCCCCTGTTAGGGTTTTCTTTTCCTGCCTTCTCAATTCAGAGAACATGATGATCGGGTATTGGAGTCAGCCTGCTTATTACTCCGGGTGGTATGTGTAACGTCACAGATCACAGCCTTTTAAAGGTGGAGTGGAAATTCCTGGTAGAGAATAGTTTTGAAATTTCTTTAAGACACTCAACGATAAGCTTGATATCATTCATTCAATTAATAAATTAATTAATAAATGAATAAATGCAAGTTTTGAATGCTACTGAGGCTTATAGGAGACAAAATTTGTGCTTGGTCATAGTGGATGCTCCGTAATGGGGCTCCAGCTAGGAGAGGGGTGTGGAAGGTCTGATGTGTTAGGTATGGTGGAGGGTATGAAATGTAACCAAGCCACACATAGCTCCTGGCCTCAGGAAGTTTAGACTTTATTGGTGATGATAGTGCATGAAAATAATTTATGATATGCAATGACAGGATGTAAATGGGTTGTGTGGAGGTTTATGGGAGAAAAATAACTAAAAGTGGCCATGATCAATTTCCCTGGCCACCCCAATCAGGAATGGCCCGTTCCTGTGAACTGTCTCCGATTCATTGCAAGACAGTCCCCTCGAGATGTAATTGTACATGTTTCCAGCTTCAAGAGGATGCTTCCAAGAGAAGTGATTTTGATAAAATAATAGCATCAGAAAAGGTGCTGGGTGGGTCCACAGCATTGGTTAGAATGTGGTCTTGTCCCAGGAAAGCTGTCTCTGCATTTGCTCATGGCTGCCATGTTTCCCCCAGTGGTGTTCCTATACATCCTGCTTGGCACGGTCATGACCCTGGCAGGCATGCTGACGGCAGCTGCTCTGCTCTACATGTACTGGATTGAAATAGTCCTGCTGTACCGAACCTACCAGAGCAAGGATGAGACCCTCGGGGGTAAGGCGACCCCCAACTTGCTTCTGAATTTTCCTCTCTGAACTGACTTAGAGGGAGAAACTCAAGAAATGCATGTTCCCTGGTAGAGAAGGTCCTGTCACTCAGCCTTTGAGGCCTTCTTCCACGTCTGGTGGCTTCAAACCTGGGAGAGCTGGGAGCAGGTGGAGGCACAACTTCTTCTCAGTCCATTTACCAGGAATCTTGCTGACCAGCGAAGCTATTGTAGATAGAGCATGTTGAGCTCAAAAATAATCTCTCTGCTCACCAACCTAATGCAATATGACAAATGACCCAACATCCCCGTGCCTTAGTTTCCTCTCCTGTAAAATGGGATTGTAATCACCATTTTGTAGTGAATGCTCTGAGGACTCACTGAGTTAAGACATAATAATCATTTAGAAGAGCATCTAGCACATAGTAAACATTCACTAGAAGCCAACTGTTATTGTCTCTTGAGTACTGAGTGCATGCCAGTCAGGTGTATTGGTGGCTTGAACTGTCACAGTGATCCTGCAAGCCTGGCACAGGGACATGAAGTCATGGGCCCAAAACTGAACTGCAGGGATGGTGCTAGAATTGGAGATTTGGACCCAGATGATTTCGTTTAGAGCCCCCATTAGCTATTACCTTGATTAGCCTCATCTATAAAATGAGGGGCTTTGAAGATGGTGGCAATGTTCAAGAAGTATGAAAGTCTATAAAATCCAAGTACTATTACAATGAATGCACACTTCCCCAGGAGACGGGATCATAGTACTTACTAGTGTCTGCTTCTTTAGGATAGAAGAGCTTGCTTGAGTGTTTTTCTAGCCCCAGAGGTCCCTAAGATCAGAAGATTTGCAGTTTTAGTGAATGATTCTCTTGCTTGGAAAGGGCAGTATGCCTTCTGCTGGATTCCCAGGCTAATTACTTCCCATGTCAGTGCTTGTCCCGCACTGAGAATGCAGTAAGGAGCTGTCAGATCTACAGAAAAAGGACAAGTAACGCGATGCATCAATTGTTCCTTTCTTTGGACCAATTATTCATGCAAGAAATCCTTAAGCCAAGACTGTTTTTTGAGAATTATTTCTTTAAATTGGTTCTTTAGCTTTTACGAGTTGAGCAAGTTATTTAACCAATGTATTAGTCATTCCCCTAGATGACTTATGCTTTTTTTTTTTATTAAAATGATATTTATCTTAAGATTCTAGAGCTTGTACAGGAGAGCCAATCAACCATGAATCTTTTAAATCTGCCCTTCCTCTTTTCACTTTGCATAGACAGTAACCTATTGAGGAGGCAGAACCCGGTTTTAAGGCATGGTGATTCATTGCTCTTCTGTGGCCAAACTAATGTTTTACAACAAAATGGCTGTTTCCTTAGAAGTTAATGCTGGATACCCAAAATTTTAGAGAGACATAGATGGGCGAAGTTGCAAAGGACCTACGTGAGAGGTCCAATACTCCCATTCGCTAACTTCATTTCCAAAGAAATTTAATGTTTCCAGGTTACAGAAAAATCCAAGCCTGCTGGAGTTTCACAGGGATATGGAAGGAACAGAGGTGACTAGGGTGTGTCACACATTTAAATGGCACAGCCCTTCTCTGCTGGCCATGCCCCATCTCCCCAATCCCCCCCCCCCCCCCCCCCCCCCGCCAGTGAGGAACTTTGCAGATGAGCCTTATGGGCCTCCATTCTTCGGCATTCTTCAGCATCCCCCTTTCTTGTGTCCTGGACCTCCCCCCTCTCTTCTTTTTCTACTGCTGGCATTTCCATCCACTAGGGGTTCTCTTTATGTCCTGTTCAGCAAGTGTAGCACCAATAGCATCAGCCCCCCACCCCCAACCCCGGGCTATCATTTGCTACTGTAACATTTCTATTTGCCAGCCATTGTGCAAAGGACTAGAATATGACGCAATTATGTCCAGATGCCCATGCCCATGAGTGAACTTTAGAGATTTTCTCCCTCTCTTGGTTGGTTAGTTACATAGCACATCCCAGTACTCAACGTGCATTTGTCATGACCTGCTCAACAGAGGCACATGAGACTTTACAAGTACCCTGAAACGAGTTTTGTAAATATGATTTCCCGTCTGGAAAGCAGGGGAAAAGGATATTTATCCTTCGAGCCTACTGTGAGCTGGACACCAAGCACTTTATATACCTGATATCATGCAACCCTGAAAACTGTCCACTAGGGCGTTCTTTTTTTTTTTTTAAGATTTTATTGATTTATTTTGACAGAGATCACAAATAGGCAGAGAAGCAGAGAGAGAGAGAGAGAGAGAGAGAGAGAGAGAGAGAGGAGGAAGCAGGCTCCCTGCCGAGCAGAGAGCCCGATGTGGGGCTCGATCCCACGATCCTGGAATCATGACCTGAGCCGAAGGCAGAGGCTTTAAGCCACTGAGCCACCCAGGCGCCCCCACCAGGGCGTTCTTATTACAGCCTTTCACACACGAGGATTCTAAAATAGGTGCATGTGCTGCTGGCTCTGTCCTCTGCAAGGTGCTGGGTCTTGGCAGTGCTTTGCTGGCTGGATGTTACCACGCTTTGACAGAACAGAGTCTTTGATGTGTAACTCCTGAGACGGCAACAGTGTGGTGCAAAGAAAACTCAGAGGAACCCCCGAGTATGTGTCATTTAATCACAGAAGCCACAGATGTTTCATCTGACCTCAGTGAGAAGGCAAGAGTGCGTCATAAATTAGAATTCAAATCCGGTGGGATAATCGACACCACTCAGCAGTGTGATTCTGAAACGGACACAGATGCTGCTTTTTATTGTGACATCAATTCAGTAAGGAGCCCGAAACTTAATTTTTGCCCATATAAAGTAGGATACAAAGCCCGTGTAGAGATACCACGATAGTGAGGCATAGGTAAATGGTTGAATTTTTTAAAAATTGTTTTTCTTCCTCAGATAAAAAGGTATTTGATGCTTTTATATCTTATGCAAAATGGAGCTCTTTTGGGAGTGAGGTCACTTCCTCTCTGAGCGAGGAATACCTGGCTCTGAATCTGTTCCCTGAAGTTCTGGAAAACAAATATGGATACAACTTGTGTTTGCTCGAAAGAGATGTGGCCCCGGGAGGAGGTAGGTCCTGCGTGCCAAGAGAAGATCTAGAACAAAAAGGACAGTTGAAAACAAGTGCTCTGTGGGCTTTCCTGTCATTCCTTCTGTTGGGATATACCTCTTCTGGAAAGTTCCATGAGCTTGGAATAGGTTGGGCCACAGTGCAGGAGAACATGTATTGCAGAGACATGTTCTGTTGTCCAAAAAAAAAAAAAAAAAAAAAAAAAAATCCATCTTCAGAGAAAATGACTGGGCCCTAGGGAGGCCTTCCTGAACAAAGATAGAGTTCCTGCCTCCTCTGTAGGAAGTCATCTCTGTTATCCTAAATAAGTGATCCCCCGGCTTTGTAAGACTCTACTGGCCACAACACTCAGCACTGGGTAAGGCACTGACCACTCATCAGATGTGCAGATCTCACTCCGTACCTCCCTTCCCCTTCCCCAGGCATCCCACCAGGGAGCCTGGGTCATCCCATGCCCCCCTGTTATCCCAGCCTGCCTTGTGCCAACAAGCTCTGCTCCTAGAGGAATTGAGCATTTGAGGACATGGAACACAAAGAGAGGCATGTAAATCTGAGAGTCATCTGAGACCAGAGTATATCTTCAAGTGTCAGCAGAGCTAATACTGAAAAAGGGGCATAGAAAACCATGCTTGCTTTTCTCCTTCCCCAAGAGTGCCTTTGAAAGGAACCCTCTGGGTAGATCTGGGAGACTCAGAGATTCGGGGTTACGGAGACTCCAGGTTTAGCGATAACAGTTTCTTGAACTCTTTTTCCAGTGTATGCGGAAGACATTGTGAATGTGATTAAGAAAAGTAGAAGAGGAATATTTATCTTGAGCCCCAGCTATGTCAGTGGACCCAGTGTCTTTGAACTACAAGCCGCAGTGAATCTGGCCTTGGATGATCAAACACTGAAACTAATTTTAATTAAGTTCTGCTCCTTCCAAGAGCCAGAGTCTCTACCTCATCTTGTGAAAAGAGCTCTCCGCGTTTTGCCCACAGTCACTTGGAGAAACTTAAAATCAGTCCCTCCCAATTCCAGGTTCTGGACTCAGATACGCTACCATATGCCAGTGAAAAACTCGAAAGGATTCAGGTGGAACCATCTCAGAAGTATCCCTGAATTTTTTCACTGGAAATGACTCAGTAAAACAGAAACCACTGGGAGGAGCTCCCAGCCTAGGAAATGGTGAAGCAGACCTTGAACCATCTCCTCTCTGTCTCTGGTGAGTAGAGATGTGGATGGACAGAACACACAGCACGGATCGAGCTCATAGAGGATGGGAAGTGTTTTGTGACTCTGAGCAAGCCTGGCAGGCCTGGGAATAACCCCGAAGCTCTGGATAGTGCCTCCGATAGCCTCTGGACAGAGGGAGAAGACATTCTCTGGATGCTTGCACACATTCAGCACATAATGCCCCTCAGACTTTCCAAGCGGTCTGAGCTGAACTGGCAGATACAGTCACTTTTGCTTTGAGTTTATCGGCTACCAGGTCTGCTATTTATTATATATATCAATTTATATCTATTTGCAATCAAATAAATATTATTTTATTCGAAGTGACTGATTTAATCTTTGTCTAAAGCTTTTCTGTAAGAAAAAAAAAAAAAGTTCTTGCTCCACATTCACCTACTGACTCTGGAGCACAGAAAGTAAGTGGGAAAGGCAGAAACCAGAGGGGGACAGGTGCACATGGGGCCACCATCAGTCACTACTCTGTCCTTGAAGGAAGCGCACCCTCTGAGCAGAGGAAATAGAGGAAGGAGCACTTCCTGTGATAGGCAAGGCAGGTAGCCTTATGCCGGACACAAGGCTAGGGGAGCAGCTGCTCCTTGTCCCGCTGGCCATTGGGCAGGGCATGAAGAACACCACCTTACTCCGGTCCACTGAAAATGGAGACCAAGCAGGTCATCATGACTGGGCCAATGAGGAGACAAGGAACAGCTTAGCACTTACAAGGCAGAAAGGCAATGGCAAGAGTTAGCAGCCAAGGTACAAGTCTGGGAAGTGTATACATTGTTTAAAAGACAACAAGGATGGAGCTTGGACAGAGCTTTGGTCTGAGCCGCTTGCCATTGAGGCTGCATTCCTTTCATGTGCTTCCTGACCTAGTGATCTCAGCTGAGTCCTGAGTAACAGGGCAATATGCTAGAGTACCCAGTAGTTTTCCTGACCGCCAAGGCGGATCACATTCTCGTAAATTCATTTTCCTTAGGAGAGTTCAAACTATAGTCACAACAGTGTTCTGCTCCTAGGAGACTATAAAATCTTCACCCTCTGCCATCCCTGTCTGAATGGAATGATTCGTCTGAGCAATAAAGACAAGCAACTTCTGGGCTCATTCAAATGTAATGTGTCACATTCCCTGGTACGAACACGATCCAAGTTCAGAATGGTGAAAAGGCATCATTGTCTGGCTACCGCTTGGAGCCTGTATGAAATGCTCTTGAGTGGTTTTTCCACAGAGGCTCCCACATCAGAAAAACCACTGCGGCTTTGGCACCAAGCGACATCCTTGTTGGGAATTTCAGTGATGAAGTTAAAGATGAGTTAAAAGGTATAAATTATTCCTGGAGGAAGTTTCTTGTGGGAAGGCTCATTGTAGGGTCTCAGTGGGGAAAGTATCCACACTGTCATTGTGTCCTTGTGCTATGGTGATGGCCAGCATCCCTGCTTTCCCTGCCAGCTGCTCACTGAGCTCTAAGACTCAGAAACCTCTTTGAGCCAGTTGACCCAGGTTTATTTTATTCGAAAATAAATTTTGCTAAAACGGATCGATCCAGTGGTCCACAGTTTTGTTCTTAGCATAACAGAAGCTCACCCTGAGCCTCAGGTTTGTACATACTCAGAAAAGGCCACAGGAGGGACTACCTAAGCCAACATTTTATAGAATATACTCTTTCTAGGTTGGTGGAGACACTGAAAATGACAAATCAGCCTTAGGGACAGATTTACACTTCTTACATGCAAATCAACCAAAATAAAGCAGGCAACTGAGACAAATATTCTACGTATAGGAGACGAATGGTAATTAAACAGTTGAACTCAGTGGAATACAATGGGAAAAGAGCATAATTTCCCCACTCCATTTTCTAGATAAGGTGACTGTATGTTCGGTTTCTGGTTTACACCTGTTGTCCCTCTATAATAACCTCACTCTGAAAAGGTGCCCTAGTTTGGATGATGGTCATTCTGTCTCTAATATACACTGGAGAGTACTCCTTACTAACCCTGGATGTTACCTCGGGCAAATCTCACAGCCATCCTGGCATCTTCTGGGGTTTAATACCTACATTTTCTATCTCTGTTATTTCCAGATTGCAGTTCTAGGTAAGATGGAGTAAGTACACACCACCCTATCTCTCCCATTCTTTGCAGCTGTAAAATATGGATCACATGCTTAGAAAGTCAGTTTCAGAATTTTTTTTTTAATTTTTTTTTTTATTTATTATTTGACAGAGAGAGAGATCACAAGTAGACAGAGAGGCAGGCAGAGAGAGAGAGAGAGAGGGAAGCAGGCTCCCTGCTGAGCAGAGAGCCCAATGTGGGACTCGATCCCAGGACCCTGAGATCATGACCTGAGCCGAAGGCAGCGGCTTAACCCACTGAGCCACCCAGGCGCCCCAGTTTCAGAATTTTTAAAAGGTAAACCAAGGCAGAATGATTGGAGAGGACTAGAATTCAAAGTTTCATGATTTTATTTTCCTCTGATATCCCTTGGCTTGGACTCAATACAGTCTGAAACCCAGAAGTGGATGTTGGTAATTACAGAGGGTTCCAGAAGTAGCCCTCTCATTTCACTGTGAAGATCAGGAAAGGAGTTTCCTAACACTCTTGTATTTTTCTCCTTTCTATGTTCTTTTACTTCCTGGCCCCTACGCAATTCTGCAAAAGCAGAGGTAAGAGGGCCTTCATCTCTGTGGAAGGGGAATTGTCCCCTTTGATACAAGAAACTGTGGTCCCCAGAAAGTGTGGCAAACATCTTTCGATTATTTTTTTGGTCTCTCTGTTCTCTTACCATTTAGGTGTGGAGATAGAAGCAGTTGAAGAAGTGCACTATAGGGTATATAAACACCAACATTCTAGCCAGAGAACTGCAAAAAGAGAGGTTAAGAGGCCTCTAGAATCAGAAAGTGCCATGAGGATTGAAGACAGAAAGGAGCCCAGAAAAACAAAACATGAGGTTGCTTGCAAACACCTGAGCTCATCCTTAAGCATGTACATATGCACAAATCTGGCCCAAAATAGAATACTATAATATTGAGAATTAAGCTATAGAACAGGCCACTTCCAGAGTTCCAGACTGACCACTGAAAAGAGTATATGTATAATAAGTCTGAGTAGAACTGAAAGACAATGAAATAGAACTGATATTGAAACCACAAGCCTGGTTAGAAATTGGGGTGTGAATCCAACTAGGTCAAATACTTGCTAAACAAAAATGACATTCTACCTAGGATTTCAACAAGACCCAAATCTGCATAACAAAATACTTAAAATGTTCAGGATACAATCCACTGAAAGCAAAGAATTATATCTTCTGATAAGTTTTCCAACATAGGTAGATACAATATATACGTTAACTACAACATAAAGGAAGAGGGTACGAGAACTTATATGGTGGTAAGGCATCTACATATCACTTGAAGTGGTAAAATATTGATTCTAAACAGAAAGTGAAACATAAATATATTATAACATAAGTATGTTATATTTAATGCCTTGGGCAATTGCTAGAACAAAGGAAAAGAAACAAGCTTGAATGAAAATAGAATAATGAAGTTATTTAAATAACCTAAAAGAGGGAAGGAAAAGGAAAAGAAAGGGATAAAAAAAAACTGAGAAAGCAAACAGAAATCAAGTAATAAAATGGTAGGGGCGCCTAAGTGGCTCAATCAGTTAAGTGACTGCCTTCAGCTCAGGTCATGATTCCAGGGTCCTGGGATCGAGACTCATGTCAGGCTCCCTGCTCAGGAGGGAAGTCTGCTTCTCCCCCTCTCCCTGCTCAAGTTCTCTCTCATTCACTCTCCCTCTTTCAAATAGATAAATAAAGTCTTCTTTAAAAATTTGAGAGATAAAAGTAACAAAATGTTAGACATAAATCTAAACATATCAATGATTATATTAAATGTAAAATGTATAAAAATAGCTAGTAAAAGGCCAACATTATTAGAACATGTTCTTTAAAAAATGACCTAAATGTATTCCCTCTACAATAAACATCTCAGATATAATGATATAGGTAGGCTGAAAGTAAAAGTTAGATATAAATACATTATATAATCATTAAGTAAAGGAAAGTTGGAGTGCCTATATTAATATCAGGTTAAGTAGACTTCAGAGCAAAGAAAATTACTGGATAAAGACAATGTCATATGAGAATTAAAAGGATAAATTTTCTAAAGAGATATAACAATCTTAAATGTGTATGTACCTAACAACAGAGATTCAAGATAAAATAAAGTAAAAACTGACAACTAAAAGAAGAAATACATAAATCCTCACTTGCACTTGGAGACTTTAATATTCTCCTCTCAGGTATTGATAAAACTAGTAAACAGAACTTAGGCAAGAACAAAGAACTGACCAATTACCATTTCATTAGTAATTTCTAAATCTAGTTGACAATATAGCAGAACACCTGACAACAGCAGAATACATATTATTTTGATATACACATAGGACATTTTCCATGATAGACCATATCTTAAGTCATAAAGCAAAAATTACCAAAAATTAAAAAAATTATACAAAATATGTTCTCTGTAATGGATTTAAATTAGAAATTAATAACAAAGTGACAGGAAAAAAAATCTCAAAACACGTGGAAATTAACACATTTCTAGATAATTCCTAGCTGCAACAGGATGTCTCAAGGGGAATTAAATGTATTTTGAATTGAAGGAAAATGCAACATATCAAAATTTGCAGGATGAAGCCAAAGTTGTGCTTAGTAGAAAATTTAAAGTATTAAGCGCTTATATTAGAAAAGGAAAATAGGGGGAGGAGCAAGATGGCGGAGGAATAGGAAACCTAATATCCTTGGGTCCCAGGAGTTTAGCTAGATGGTTATCAAACCATTCTGAACACCTACAAACTCAACAGGAGACTGAAGAGATGAAGAGCAGCAATTCTAGGAACAGAAAAGCAACCACTTTCTGGAAGGTAGGACATGTGGAGAAGTGAATTGGAGGCCATGAGAAGATAAACCATGGTGGGGGGGCTGGCTCCTGGCAAGTGGTAGCACAGTGGGGTACAAAATTGGAACATTTAGAAATCTGCTCTATTGAGGGACCTCGCTCCAGAGGCTAAGCCAGGGGTGGGGGAGGTGAAGCCCTTATGAGGACAGTGTGGTCTCAGGACCCACAGGGTCACAGACTGGGGGATGCCTGAGTGTGGCAGAGCCCCCAGGCATCGGAGTGGGGAAGCCGGTGGCAGACACTGAGCCAAGCAGTGAGCTGTCAGCTCAGGGTTACTTT